AAGGGGAATGAGGGAATTTTGGGGGGGTGTGTTGGAACTGTATATGAGCTTTTTTAATATAGATTGTGATGATGATTACAATACTGTATGAATTTGTCAGAACATAGGTTTGTTCACTGGAAGATGAATTGTATTATATGTAAATTATCCTTAAAATTTAAAAATATTTCAAAATAAACCTAAAAATTTGAGAATTATTTCCATATAGTCAGACGTGTATATTCAGGATAGGTTCTTGGAGGAGGATTATTGATTTAGGGGGTAAAAACATGTGTAGTTTTGTTAGAGAATGTCAAATTCTGCTTCATAAGGATTATGATTCCAATTATTTCTATTCCTTTATGCTCTAGCAATGTATGAAGTGCCTATTTCCTTATAACTTTTTTAGGAGATTATCTTTGTTAAGCTTTTAAAGTTTGCCAATTGCATAGATGAGAAATATTAATAGTACCTCTGTATAGTTTCAGTTTGCATTCTTATTTCTAGGGTGAAATATAATATCTTACAAGTTTGAGGGTTATTTGTATTTTGTTTTGTTTTTCCAGTAAAGTGTCTACTCATGTCTTTTGCCCATTTCTCTAATTATTTTATTTTTCCATCAATTTTGGTGAGTTCTTTATATATTAGGATATTAGTTCTTAATCTATTATGTAATAGTATATAATTTTAAACCTATATTTGATCGGTTTAATTTTCTTCCTCTTAGTCCTTCTATATTTAATACCTAATTTAGTGCTAAACTTCCTATTTTGCCTAACAGTTTATAATTTCTTAGCATATAGTACACCACTGTTAAATAAAGACCAGTTAAATTTTTATTTCATTACTATTTGGCTGCAAGCTGAGAATTCTTGAGGGGCTATCTTTGGATTTTTACCACAAGGTGTTTTGCAGTGTTTCAATAAGGAAAAATGGTGGTTTTCCTGATTTTCTTCTGCTTAGTATAAACACTTAAGTAAATTAAGTAGTAATCTATTAAGGAATTTCTTAGGAAGAATTCTAAAATTTTGTCAAAAGTGCAACAGCAAAATTCTGTACTTATAAGGATAGGGTTCTGGTCAGGATATCCTTATATGTTCCCAGACAAAAGAAAGTTCTTAGCTTCTGAAAGTAAGATTTAAAAAAATTGGGGGGACATAATGGACAATTTAACATTAATTTCAGGTATACAGCATCAATGATTCAATGTTTATCTATATTATAATATGGCTACTCTTACTAATTCTAATCACTTCCAATTCCAGACCTTCTAGTTTCGTTGGTGTGTCATTGGGGAGAGTTTCAGAGTTCCAGCTCTTTGAAAGCTCAAGTCCAGATGAATTATACCCTTATTTTCTCTGAAGTTTTAGAAGCAAAGTAGCATAGAAAAGCATACCAGTGAAAAAGCACAGCTAGGTATCTCCTGACTACCAGACAAAATATGGGCAGTCAAAATTGATCCTCTGAATGCAAAGGCAATAATCATTGTTGTTTTATGTCTTTAGAAAGATGCCTGGTACATTTTAATGACTGTTGCTGCATTCATTTACCAATACTGAGAAACTGTTTTCTGTAAAGCAGTAATCAAAAGTATTTTCAAAAAGGAGAATGACTCAAATTATTAGTGAGAAACATATCTAAATTCCTTACAAATTTCTATCTTATTCTTTTTGGGTGACCCATCTACTTCAGATGGTTTCTTAAGAGAAAAATAAATGGCGTGAGTGTGTGGTGTGGTGTATGTCTCCTGGGACAGCTGTGTGAATAACAGGACCAGAGAGTACTAATGCATTTCTGTTTTCATCTACTATGTTTATCAGCAGCACAGATAAATCTCTCATAGTACATTTGCTATTCTTCTTGAGTGGACGGAGGCAAGCAATCTTTCCTTGTACTCTATTCCTTTTTCTTAATGATATGCTTTCCCAGTAATAAAGCAGGTAGATTTTCATGTCCTTACCTGCAGATGTTCTTCCCTTTTCCCTTCTTCACTAGCAAGTATTTTAAGACAGTAGAAATAACTACTAATATCTAATTTCTTCATTGAAGGGAGGAGGTTTTATAAAAATTTTAAATGAGTCTACCTGTTAAAATGTGAATGCCATTATTTATTTTAAAGCAGGAATTTTCATAATCAGAAATGTTTCTTTTCTTTCTGTCCATCTAATATTCCCAGTTCTTCTCTGAACCTTTATATCTTCCCCAATATATTTTGTTTGAAGAAACTCATAGGACTATTTTTTTTCAGGTTGCCTTTCATTAATCCTATCTATAAATTTACTTTTCTAACTTAGCTTCCTCTGTCTCTAGTCTTCTTTTAATCATCTATATAGTGGCATGTGGTGTAATATATAATGCTGTTTAACAACAGATATTCTATAGGTATAATTAGGAAGTATAGCTTTGACTAAAACTGTTCATAATTTATTATAAAAATGTAATAACAATATTAAGGCCTATTAGCCATATGTGTCAGTATCTAGTGGTACACAATTTCTAATATGTGCAATTGGAGAATATATGTGTTGCCTTCATGATTTCTGCTTCTGGGTGCTGTAGTCCAATCATCTCACAATTCTTTCAATAATTTATTTGTTATTTTAACTTCTGTATTATAACTTGCTCTAAGACACAGATTCCTTAGTTGTAGAACCTAAAATCTTACCTATTATGTGGCCTCTTTGCAAAATAAAGAGGTTTATGCAGACAGTAGGCCCTGATGCTCTCCATTCAAAAACTATATAGGGAATTAGGCAGTTGCTGTCCTTGGTGATGAAATTATTTCATGTCTCTTCTTAAGGAAAACAACTGGTTAAAAAAGCAGTGTAATCTTGAATATACTGCTTGTGGCTACTGTTGGTATCTTCATAGATCTATTTGAACTAGAAAAATACAGACTCCAGTATCTTAATGTCTTGAGTTCCTGACTGCCAGGCAGAGGAAATGTTTAACTATTTTAATCATGTTTCTGTATCTCAGAAAGAAAGCCCTTATGAGAGGAAATGACAACGTCCTACCACAAAGTTATCTCTTATCAGCTATAGTCTCAGTCGATAATGATTTGTCAAACTTGGACATGTGTAAAATGCAAGGGCTGTGTTATTTACTTTGGAAAGGAAAAATTAGATGAAGCTGATAAAGATGGAGTCATGGCTTTTGTTAGAGACTGAAACCATTAGAGACAGTCATTGTTAGCTTAGGAAAGTGTCCTTGGACCCCTCCCTCTGCCCCAGCTGAAACCTAAGTCTGCTTGAATCATTCTCTGCAAGTTGAGGGGAGGGAGGGGCAAAGTAGGGGAAGTAGACTGAAGACAGCTTTGACAGAAATTTAGCATTTGAAATGGGGAGCAAAATGTGGACTTTAAAAACAGACTTATTCATTTGTGTTAGTCAGGAAAAATTGCCCTTTGTTCTCATACTCTTCCCCACTCCCATTTATTTAGATTTTTGAAAGTTCATTGCTTATCCTTCCAAAAATATAGCATTCCTTCACGCTCGGTGCACGTTGCTCTCCTCCTTTCTCCTTCCTTAGACATAAGTGATACTTTTTCATTAGTGGAAGCAGAGAAAACACATCTAGCTCAAAGCAACATGAGTCAGTGCATGCTTCACATGCCTTTCTCCTCACAGTGCTCTTCTTGGTTCCTCACAGTGTCCCTAGTGTTCCTCACAGTAGGAAGCATGGAGGAAAAATGATTTCTAAATAGTAGGCTATTTTGGGAGTGGAGGTAGAGTTTGTGAACTGAAACTCCATTCTGTGTCTTCTTTTCTTGTCTGCGTTTCTGTCAACTGCTTTTAAAGCAGGTAGTCATGTGCTTAGGAGGACTTAACTGGATTTTGGTTTCAGAGGCTAAGAAATAGTCCCTGAAAGTGTGAGGACTGGGCACTTTAAGTGGTTTGAAGCCTAGTGTGATGAGTTCAGGACAGCTTCACACAGAAAAGGTTGGGTTGAAAATGTATGTTGACTGTGACAGGAAAGGCTTTAGTTCCCTTACTAAATAGTTGACCCATATAAGCCAGTCTTAACCAAGTATCTTTGTTTGTAAAAGACCCCATTAGCTTATTTGTTACAGTTTTCTAGGGATGTTGATGGTCATCTGTAAGGATGTGTCTGACATGTGAAAGGGCCTAGCCTCTGTCTGTGGAATGGCTGGGAGCACTTTCCTTTTGAATGAATGTTGGCTCTGAGTTAAGGCAAAAAAAAAAAAAAAAAAAAAAAATCAACAAGCCACCTGAAGAATATATAAGCAAAGTCATGATTGAATTTGTTATTCAAATTTATTGCTTTTTTGAGGAAATTGAGACCAAAATAAATTGTAACTTACACATTGGTCACGAAACAAATCCATGTTAGCACTATGATTACACTTCAGCTCTTACCTGCTATGTTCTGTTTTACTCTTTCTTTAGATGTCTAGGCTTAATCAGTATGCATTATTCAAGTGATAGTTCACTGTTTTTACTTGTAGGCCTGGCTTTTTCATTCATTATCTTATTATTTACATTGTCTTCCATTTTTCCTAGCTGACTTAAATATTCACTAATTCCTATTCTGTTGAGAAGCTGAGTGGCAGGCTATTTTTATTTCATCCTGTGTGGAAAGTTTTGTTTTTGACCACTGAAACTTAGTTTTTTTATGTAGACTGCCATGTGTCTAGAAGATAGAGTGAAGTCATCAAAATCACATCCCCACCTTCTTGTCTTCTCTTTGAAGGCATATGGGTCAAGATGAGTCTCTAAAAGCAGATGCAGGACAGGTGACACTTTTGTCACTTCTTTGCTATCCATCCTTCTGGTCTTTTACTTATCCCTGGTGATATCGTCACAGTTTATTAATCTCATGGTTAAAATATCAAAACTAGATCTTAATTAAGGAGCATGGTTTGTTTTGTGATCCTCTCTTGGAAATAAGAGCTGATTTGTAAAATAAAATATATTTTTATACTTAATAGTAAAAGTAAATGCAATTGCTCCTAATAGCTTTGTTTGATTATATTGTGATAATCTTGGTTATGTTCGCAGGTACCTGGGGCCCAAGATTTGGTGGATTTCTCTCCTGTTTATCGATGTCTACACATATATTCAGTTCTGGTGAGTCTTATACGATTTGTAAATCAACGTTATTTTAACCTCATTAGAATGGTTGAACATTTTTTTCCTTTCTCCATTTTATGAAGAGATTTATGTACGGTAAGAGTTATCTGTACTTTGAAAATTGAGTTAAAAAAAAGAAAATTGACTTGAAATCACATATGCAGTAATATACATTTTTTTCTTTGCGACACACTTCCTCCTTTCTCCCTTATTATCTTGCCTCCATGCTCAATGATTTTGCTTAGTTTTTTCAATAGTATGGATGGTTTTGGGAGTTCACAATTGTTGTATTTAAGTGAAATGTCTATAGAAAGAGAACCAGATTCGTTCATATCAGGTTCCATAATTGCAAAATCAAATGAATTTTTCCTCTCAAATAGTGAAAAGCCTATGAAAATGGATATTTCGTTTAGTTAATGTAATATTGTCAGTACCAAGAGCAGTACTGGAAAAATACTGATAATTTATTTGTACACTTACTAGCTGTATGAGAAATAAGCCTTATTTCTCATTATGAAATGTGACAATAATAATCACCTGCTTAGTGCAGTTTTAGATATTGTATGAATGGTGCCTCATCCATTCGCTGGCCCATAACCTGCATTTAATAAATGGCAGTTATGCTGACAAGATTTTTATATCTCTAGTGTTGATTATTAGATGCATTATTTGTATTTTTAAAAGTAATGTTGCAAGGTATAGACAAGTAGACAGAGGTTCTAGTCTCTTTCATCAACACACAAAGTTTATCAGTTATTTAAAGTTTATATACTTTTACATATATACAAAGTTTATACACTTTTACATACAGATTCCTAAACTGTGAGGACTAAACAAGAGAACATTGAACTGCCTAATTAAAAATAAAGTATACACAGTGGTATTCTGTAGTGTTGAAGTGTTTGTACATTTCCAATAATTTGAAAAAACATTCTTTATAAGGCAGAAACCCCCGTTTTGCCATTCATAAAGTTCCAAAATTTGGAAAAGATACAACTATTGGTAAGAAGTCTGCTCTATTTTTCTGGAATACATGTTTATTTTTTAGACATTGATGTACCAGTGCTATAGGGATTTTAAGTTAGGACTCAAATTTCCACTTTGCTAAATGAAGTGCCAGAGCATGTACAACTTCTAAGGTTGATTCTCTTCATGGCTTTTTTTAGAACTTGTCACTTCTCTGTATTTCTTTCCCCATTTTCAATTCACTAATTTGTGCTACTATATGGTGAAAGATAGCGAACTCCTCATAATACTAATAGCAAAGATATTTTTATTTATTTATCTTTGCATAGAACTGGGGTGTAGACCAGAAGTGTTGGGAGGTGAGAGGATTTGCCAGAGACAGAGTGGGGAGCAGAACAAATTTATTGAAATACACTGTTAAGAGGTGCAGCAGGCCAGACAGGAGAGGTGTGCTGCTCCATATGTGGGTTAGCTCCCGGGCCCGGGATCGAACTCAGGTTGTAGTTGTGATAGCACTGAGACTTAATCCTTAGGCCAGCAGGGAGACCTTCAAAGATATTTTTTAAAAAGGAGTTATTTAATATAAAGTTGTAGCATAAATATTTTATTTCCTAATGTAGGTAATATTAACATTAGGCTTTAAAAAAAGGTATGAGAACGTAGAACTGAGAACTGATGAGAAAATAAACCTTATCTCTCTCTTTCCTTCCCATTCCTTCTCCTCTACCAATCTTTTTGGCAGTTGTTATCTGTTTTAGTTTTTGTGGATTCTAGTCCTTCTTTGTGTTCCTTGTGGTTCTCAGGGTTCTGCCCTTACCCTGCTTCTCTTCTTTCTCTCTTCCCTTTCCTGAACATTATAATATACTTTCAAGGTTTAAATTGCTAATGACTTCCAAACCTGTATCTCGACATCTCAGCTTTCCCTTGAGTTTTAGATTTTTATATATAATTGTCTACTGAACCTAGCCTTTTGAATATTCCCCAGAAGCACAAACTTTATTTATTTCAAAATCAACTCATCTCCCTTTGCTCCCTAAAATCTACTTCTTCTGTATACAGTGATTGATCTTAGGTAATAACAGCATTATCTGTCTAGTCATCAGCCAGAAACCTAAACCCTTCTATTTTCCCCACTCCTACATTTGGAAATTTTACCTCCCAAATATATACATATAGTTCTACTTGCCTCTCCTAAAATTATTGCCATAGTTCATATTTTCACCAGGATTATTCCATAATAGTGGTCTCTCTACCTTATATCATAAATCTTTAAATTATTTCTCACTATAGTTATAATAATCCTTCTATCATACAAATTTGATGATGTTACTACTTACGATTCTCTAATTGGTCATTTGTGGAGTAAAATATAGACGCATAAAAGAAAGTATAACATACAAAATTACAGATTTTTCATGTTCTGTCTGCCATATTTCCTGCTACCACCTTGTTTTAATGATATTGAAAATGCTTCCAGTTCTTTGAATGCACCATGCCCTTTCATACTTCTTAGCCTTTCTTTGTGCCAGTCCCTGCTTCAGTTACTAGCCCCATTTCTTATCTTATGGATTAATATTTGTTTCATACTTGTGTGTGCAGAAAATTTTCCTGTTATTTCAGGTTGTGCTCAGTGGGCTCCCTTACCCTTTGTGCTATTAGAGGACCCAGTGCATATTTATACTGGTGCTTACTATATTCTGTCACCATATTCTAAAAATGTGTTCTTTTTTCTCAATAGACTATAAGCTCTATTAGGGCAAGTACCATGTTTTATTCATCTCTTTTTGCCCTCACACTCTGTTTTAGTAGTGCATAATTTGCAATAAATGTTTATTTTTGATTTTGAAAGATAGCTATCCTCCTTTTGACCTGCCAATGAATCCACTATTCTAGTCTCAGACTGCGTTATACAATATCAGGGCTGGGACTTATACGAGGGAAAACAGTTCTATTGGTGTCCAACGGAAGGATCATAACAGAAGTAACAAAAAGTTCTAATATTTTGTCATTTACAATAGTGTTTATCTGAACTTTTGGCCTGGAGGATAACAAGGCACACTTTGAATAAACATGGCAATATTTATTATTTTTAGTGAAACCGACCTTCCATTCACCCCCCTTTTATGGCTGTGCTGCTTATAAATTCCCAAAGGATTATTTGAAAAATCCTACTTATATCTGCCAGCCTTATCAGTAGGGCAGGAGTTCACGTATTGTAACAGGAGGTCAGATTTCGGTCATGGTCTTATAGATGGGGCCAAGCACCTGTAAATTCTTCCTTTGGTGACTAAAGTGAAGTACAATATCAAACAGGCTGTGAGACTTTTCTAGGAAGTGCTGAACTTTGGCAGGAAGGGCAAACTTTGGCAGGAGGAGGGGCGGGAAGAAAGTTAACAAGGGTCAGATAGTGGTTAATTGAGACTTGGTCCTTGATACAGTAGTGCAATGGAAACGTTCAGGGCAAAGATAGGTGTATTTTATGGAATTGTTACAAACAACTGATCTTCTTTAAATCTTCATATACAGTTTAGAGATGGGCAGGTAAGGGGGAGGATATAAAACACAATTTTACAGTCATTAAAGATAATTTGTAAGAAAGGAAAAGTAAAAAATTCCATGGAAGAAAAGTGATGAATATTAAAAATCTGAGGTTCCTGTGTGTCATATACCAGTAATGAAAAAGATAGATGGACTCTCTCTTTAATGAAGAGAGAAACCAGTCTGTCCTGCAGATTTTTTGAAAACTATCAAGCCAATGATATCTGCCATGTTTTTGAGCTCCAAACCTTGAACCCAGCTCAATTTCAACAAAGATTTGTATGTAATTTAAGTGTCTCTAGACACTGCTACATATTTCTGACTCTTCTCCAATTTTTCTGCTCATGCACCCTTATGTCACTGGAAGGGTGTGTGTGACTCAAAATAAGAAACTTGGGTGTCATTAAGAGCCTGGGGGAGCAAACCTATTAATATAGTCATACTCCTAGTTTGTGGGTCTCTTTACAGTCATCTCCTCCTGTGGTATCTTGGCCTCTAATGATCTGCATCACCTGCTTATTAATGACTAAAAAAATTCCTAGATTGAAAAATATATATACATACTTTTAATGTATGTTAAAGTCTAATAAAAAAAGTTTAAAGATTTCTGACATTTGGGTCTAGATATAGCAGTTATAGCAATATATAGAATTTTGTTTTAGTAAGCAGCAATACTTGAGTATCATAGGAATCATAAGAACCTCAGTTTTATCTTATTCTCCTTCCATCACTAAAGGAGACTGTAAAAACAGTTTAAGGCATAAAGGAATGCACAATGCCGTGCAGTGAATTCACTATTACAAAACTCTAGCAAGTGTAATATTTCTTTTAAACTTTCTTGGGCATGGTGTCTGTGAGAATTTGATGAAAGCTGTGAGCCCTTTCCTCAGACAAAATGCACATATGTATATACATGTGATATTTGGCTTAGAATTTCAGAGGCTTCCCCGTCTCCTGAATCTTATCCATAAACTTAGAAAGAATCCCTTATCTAAAGGGAAGTACAGATTGAGTTAGGTTTCAGGTACCCCTGATGACAGACCTATGACCCACAATTGCTTACCCCAATTCTATTTGATTACCCCCTTTGTAAACCTGCTAAATACTCCCTACACTCTTTGTCTTTTCCTTAGATTTGGAAGTCTTGTCAAAATTTAAAAGCAAGTTTCAAAGTGACCTTAATTCTATGTCATAAATCTTTTTCCTTGGGTGACCATTATGTATGACAAGCTGGTAACCTGTTTTTCTGTTAAGAAGAAGTGATATCAGCACCTAATAGTTTTGTCCCCTCAATTATTTTTCTTAGGAGTATTAAGAGCAGATATTTAGAAATAATTTTCAGAACTATAGTTGGTAATTGATCTCCCTGAACTTAAATAATTGTGTTATTTCATAATATTTTACTTACTTCCTTTTAATATTATCTTTTTAAATAGTTGGCTATAAGTAGGAGAGGTGGATCAGCAACAGAGCTAGAATTTATCCACAATCTC